CTCACTCACACTCACACTCTCTCTCTCACACACACACACACACACACACACACACACACACACACACACACACACACACACAATAATACACACTAATACACACACACACACAGGCTTCTGACTCCAAGAATTGCTGGTTCAATCCATGGATTGTTCAAATAAATCTAGACAGGGATGAAAGGAAAAAACAAACAAAACAGACAACCAAACAAAACTTGCTACTCTGTTATTACCTCTACTGAGGTGCCTTCGGGCAAGGCAGTTAAATCCCAACTGCTCCAATAAACCTTCTCAGTGGCCAACAGCTCTTCTAGCATTCATTTTCCAAGGGTGTGTGTATAAGACAGAGGGAGCAACTCCTACCTACCCTACTACAACCCAGTCCCACCAGCATTTGAAACTGCAAAGTTCCGCAGTGAAATCTATTAATTGTAATGGAATGCTTGTGAGGGTAAAGTAAATCCATGCAACTTTTGACTCAAAAATTTGCACCACTGATCAATACCAAGCCGTCTTGATGGTACTGACCTTTGAAGAAGGCCCAAGAGAGTCCAAAATAGAGGAAACTATTGTAGCTAATTGGCTGTGTTGCACAATTCACTTTCATTTCACCTCCTCTGAGTCTGAGTAAAAACTGTTCCACAAAAGTGGAAATTCACAGACAGTCATGAGACAGGAGTCAGTGGTAGAAATAATTCTTTTTTCATTTAAGTGAGCAAACCTAATGTCCCACTAGCAACTGAGCTAACTAGCTGACTAGAAACTCAACTTTTTAAAATGGTGTATAGTCCTGAGAAAAAAAAATGCCTGGGCAACTAAGAGGCCAAGGAATGAAAAAATGAAAAGAAGCTCAGAGGATTATTGTGAGTGACTAGTGCTAGTCTGGCTGGCTACCATCTTCTGTGTCTGCGTTCTTCCATCTGCGAGCTACAGCAGTTTACCAACTAGCCCTGTGAGTAATCACTACATCACAAAGCTTCTAGAGCCAAATATTTCACCTTGATGGCTTTTCTGGTGTTACCAATATGATGATATGTTAAACGTACATTCATTTAAATTTCATTTAAATATATATATATATTTGATGAAATTGTAGTGAGCGTCTCACTGTGCAGCCAAGAAAAAAAAAAAATATATATATATATATTTTTTGTCAGTTGACAAAATATATATATATATATTTTTTTTTAAAATATAATATGATATTTCCTTTTTTGTATTCTTTCAGGAACTATATGGTTTGTGTTTTGTCACAACCTTTCTATCTCTTTCTATTTTTTTTCTTTTTACACCTGTCTCTGTGTCTCTGTGTCTCTGTGTCTCTGTGTCTCTCTCTCTCTCTCTCTCTCTCTCTCTCTCTCTCTCTCTCTCAGGACATATGTGTTTAATATATGGTTCTTAATTACAGTTCTCTGCTAAAAAACAATGGCTCCAATCACTTTGTATACAGCTGTGAGTGTGTGTGGGTGTGAGCAACTGAGTGTAGAGACAGAGAGGGATGGTCAATGTCTACTGGTCTGAACAAATATCCAGCCTAAAGGACAATTTATTTCACTGCTTCACTACACTGTTCAATTCACTCCATATCGGCCCAAAACACACAGATAAACACAAAAGCATTCTCTCTCTCGATCAAATGCACGCACGCACACACACACACGAACACACCCACACCCACCCACACACACACACACCCACACCCACACCCACCCCCACACCCCCACACACACACACACACACACACACAAAGAGTTGTGCAGGTACAGGCAAAAAGATAAAGCAGCACTCACACCCACTAACACGCACAACACACTCATGCCCTCTCCAAGCCAAAAGTCAACTATTTGCAGAGAACCAATAAAAGTGACAGCAGTGTTTCTTTAAAATATGAAAGGTTAGCAGTAATGTAGAAAGGGCTGCTGCCAACAGCTGCCAAAAGCCATCAACCAATCATGTGAAATCAGCTGGAAATATGGAAATGCCATCAGCCTATAGTGTGGAAAGAAGGAAGTGGTCGCTCATGGTAAAAACCGTGAGAGAGAGAGAGAGAGACACTGGCCGAGGGACTCCCCGACGCTGATGTTAACGTTTACATATCGAGTCGCTTGCCTGAGATCCCTTTCCTTCTAGGCTGGAACATGTTACAGTTTGTTAATATCAGTACCTCAAATAAATTTTGGTAATTGTATAATATTTAATACATAACGTTGTTTTCTTTTATTGTGTGTGTGACCATGTTTGTGATATTTTGTAGTATGAGTTTGTAGTAGTGCATGGGAGTATGGTTCATGTGTGTCTGTTGTAGTGTGTGTATACGTTTGTCCAAGCAAAACTGTGTCTATGTCCAATTTTGTGTGTATGTGTGTCAGCAAAAATGAGCCAGCGGTATCTTCTTGGCTGCACAGTGAGACGCTCACTACAATTTCATCTGCTTGGTCATGACATTCGTCAGTTGACAAATCCTTTCAATATAGTCTACCTGGCCTCGCTCGCTCATCATTTTAAAGGAATTACACTGTCTGGGGAGAGTGGGAGGGAGAGGAGAGTGGGAGATTAGACAGGGAGGTGAGAGGAACTAACATGAAAAAAGAGGGGAAGGAGAACAGGAAAGATAAGACAGGTATCTTTTCAATATCATCTGCCCAGCTGAAGCTATTCACTGTCAGAGGAGGAGAGTGGAAAAGAGGGATTTAAAGAGAGCATAGGGGAAGGATAAAGGTGGAAAAGGTGTGAAAGGAGAGAGGAAATAAGAAGGAGATGAAGGCCATTTACACAGGATCTAATGTAGCTATCCCCACTGCTATTTTGGTTGAATGGCTGCAAAACAGCAATCTGGCCTGGAAGCTGAAGAAAATGTGGTTGGGTTAGAGCATGCACTGTATGTCACTGGGGTTATCAGTGAGGCTACTGCTGTTAAAGAGGAATAATTAAGGTTATACAATGAGGCCTTGGGGGCTGGGCCTGTATAGGACTTAACTAGAAGTTAATAATAGAAAAGCATAATGGAGCCAGCTCTCAATGCCTTTACATAATTTCACAAAAAACTCTCTTTATTAGGTACACCTTAGGTACATCTGCCATGACATCTATCTTTATGATTTTTTTGGAAACATTTTCCTTTTATTTGTTTCAGGAGCTGCCTTTGTGGCTGGAAAAATCTCAAACCATGAATTTTCAGCTTTCTGGGTCAACTAGTAGTTTCCCAACTTAAACAGGGCAAACAGTGGCCCTAATATATACCCTAACATCTCGCCAGATCCTCAGCCTTGCTGCCCTAACTGGTATAATTTGTTTTCAGCATGCTCAATAATAAATCTTTTATGACCTGCTCACCTTTGCATTTGAATCAGATGCCGAGGGGTATTGCGCTCTAAAGTTGGGGGATTAATTTCTCTCTTTATTTAAAATGCTGTTTCAACACTTGAGTATGTCAAAGCGCTAATGCTGCCCTCATCGCTCTGCTCAGTCCATACAAAGGCAAGAACAAGAGATGAAGACAGGACCGAAGCAGCAACTAGCTGACAGCACTTCTTTCTTATTAAGACTATAACATGGTATGAAGACAGACAGAGATGTGAAAAAGTGATGAAGAAGGGAGGGCAAAGAGAAGAAAGGGAAAGAGTAGTTGGGAAGAAAGAGAAAAAAGAGCGCATTATTATATACAGGTACAGGAAGGAATGCATGGGAGAAAGGTAGCAGAGAAAGGAATGAAATAAAATGTATCTATCGACCACACAAAGCTCTTGTGCACTGATGACACAGCATTAGGGGCAGTTAAGGGTTTGTTTTTCAAGGACAAGGACACTTCGACACTCTCTGGACGACCCGGGGATCGAAACAGGAACTTCCCGATTACTGGACGACCGCCCTACACTATTACACTGATCCTAATATCAAATATAGTTTGATATTGCTCACAGCGGGAGGTTGTGATGATTTTCTTTTTTTTAAAAGTTTTTTGCCTTTCCTTTTGACTTTATGAGCGTGTGAATGTGTGTGTGCAGTCCCCTCTGCTGTGTGTTTGTGCGCATCTTCCAGACTACTGGCTACAGGGAAAACCAATCCTCCTCAGTCTCTGCATGATGTGAATTGACTTTTGCCACAACAACTGCACTGCTCTGTATGTTTTTGTCCGTGACCCCATGCATCACTCACTGTGGAAGGATTTGTGTGCGCGTGCAAATGCACACAAGGCGTGTATCAGAGAACATAATACCGTAAACGTGTAATCACGTTTTTAAGTTAAATTCTTCACTCACTTCCCCTCTCTCTCTTCCATGTCCCTACCTTTCTCACACATTACTTTCTCTCCCTCCTCCCTAATTTTCTAGGATTTGTTCATATTTTTATTTTAATTTCACACTTGAGTGAACAAACTTAAATGATGACCAGAGCAAAACTATATCTGCAAATTCTGTGCGTGTGTGTGTGTGTGTGTGGCAATTGCCCAAAAACACAGAGTAACTATAAAACACACAGAAAGAAAGAAAGACATTTTCTCTGCCTCCTTTCTCTCTCTGCTTGGTCTAAGATGACTCTGACATGTCTCTTGGGTGACATTAACACACAATGACTGCTCCCACCTGCCCAGTAACACACTCGCACATATACAACACACTGTCCCGTCACTGACCTGTTAGCAGGTGGTAATGGCACAGAGTGTATTTTACTCTGGGCCAAAAGCCTCACAGATGTTCCTATCACTGATCTAAAACAGCCTCACTCACCACACTGTAAGACAGATTAAGTTTAACCTTATGATTTTTTTTCTTTTTCTTTTTCTTGAAAACACATGTACCAGCTGTAGAGAAAATACTGATAGAGGGAAGAAAAGAAGGAAAGACGATGGTAAGGAACGAAAGAGAAAAGAAGGTAGTAAAGAGATGGAAGGTTAGATTAAAGGACAAAAGTAAAAGAATAGAAAGAAGAAAACAGAAAAAAACAGATTGATGGATGAATGCATGGATATATATAGGAAGGAAGAAAAATGTGATTCATACCACTTGTCCATTCTGGGGGTTTTTGTGGGCATAGGGAGGACCTCTGATGTGGTTCCACATCTGACCAGATGTCATTGCAAAAACAACACACTATCAGAGAGAGAGAGACAGAGAGAGGGACAAAAAAAGACAGGGGGGAATGTGAATTAAACATCATTAGAATGGAAATCTTAGTCAGTCTGAAATTTATCCATCTCAACAAAATGACATAAAATCGAACTTAAAGCCTGCAGTATATCTTCTTATGGGGTAACGTTACTCCATTCAACTTGTTTCCAGTTCAGTTACACCCCTGTGTGTGTGTGTGTGTGTGTGTGTGTGTGTGTGTGTGTGTGTGTGTCATACCAGTGCAGCCATGGCCCATCCAGTCTTGTTGTATATGAATTCCAAGTTGTTCCTCCTCAAATACAGCAGACCTCCAACCAAAGAAACTAACAGAGCCAAAGCAATAGTCCCAGAATAATTGGGAGGACGGAAGACACGGATCTGGCGGAATGGAGGGAGAGAGAGAGAGAGAGAAAGATATGAATATAATATAACTTTTACATTTTTCAGTCACTGTATATATCACTATAGTAAATGTATAGATGTATTTATTTATTAACTCAATGGGTCCAGTCTGGATCAAGAGCTTGCAGGGTTGGAAACCAGTAAGTTTTTAAAATTCAGGATGAATAAACTTGGCACAGTCTGAATCTATAATCTATTGACTAAACTCTTAAAGAGAAACACCTGTCCCTTCAAATAGATAGTTTGCAAACCACAAATACAATAACTGGATAATAACTTGTAGTACTGTCTGTGTGTGTGTGTGTGTGTGTTTGTGTGTGTGTGTGTGTGTGTTTGTGTGTGTGTGTGTGTGTGTGTGTGTGTGTGTGTGTGTGTGTGTGTGTGTGTGTGTGTGATCCTGATTATACAAAAATGATTTCTGACCCTGTCTTGACAACATAAAGTGAGGAAAACCTTAAATATATAATTTAATGTAACATAAGATAATATAAGTAATATAATAAAGTCAAACATAGCAGACATGGACAAGGATGTTCCATCTTGATCTTTGAAGGTCCACTTTAAAAGCTCAAAGAGCTACTAAGTGTACTTATGAGATTAGATACGTTGGTTACCTTAAACAGATATAAAAAAAATAAACAAAGAAGAGAGTAATGTAGTTGAGGATGGAGACAATGCAGCATTTATATTTAAAGCTTCAATGTTAAATCTGACCTTGATTCATTCTTTTCTTTTCATTTGACACAAAAGAAATTTGGAATAAAAGAATTTTTCTTTAAAAGGTTACAAAGCTGTGGATATCTATTCATGGAAAGCTTAGTGAAATTTTGATGCCATTCACACTAAAAAAAGCATTAGAGTGCTTTTCTTTTATGTGCAAATGTGCCAACTGTGAGCTATTTTGCTTCAACAGTCTTAAAAAAAAAAAAAAAAAAAAAACACCTAAAGGAAACATTAAATGTCACTGCATGGTTACAGGCAAGTGCATGACCATGTCCTTATCCTGAAAATGATCCCTGAATGTGTTCATTATGTCGTTTAAGGAAAAGGTCTTTTCAATAAAAACAATAAACAGTTTCAATTGTATATATACGTATATATATATATATATATATATATATATATATATATATGGTGTTCTTACCATTTTCAAACATGAGTTTTGTCAACTGTTTTAAAGCCCTCACTTATTCCCCCATTGGAACACATTGGAATGTGTTTCATCCGTGATAACCCACAGACAATGGTAAGACTTCACAAGACTAAATAAGAATGAGGGGAAACAACATTTTCAGAAGGTACAAAATGATGATATCGAAAAAAAATTATTAAAAAATTTAAAGATAACAAAATGTTCTTCTGAGGAATGGCTCTTCAGAATTTTATTAACCATAAACATATGACCATATCATATCAATTGTTCAGGTCTTTATATTAAAACTCTTCTATCATAACTTTCATGTGTTTCTCTCTCACTCTCTAAATATAAATATATGCATATAAATAAATACAGTTTGTCTCTAGATTTCGATCGTAGGAACAAAACAACGTCATCAAGAGCACTATGCAGTACAATAAGAGGTTGACAGGTGTGTTTCCCTTAAAGCTGCTGGTCTAAACACTTGGTCAAGGTTTAATACACAGTGAAAAGAAACTCCCTTGTTGCTAATAGGGTTATAAGATATCTTATATCAGTATTATTAGAAAACATTTGTGAAAACATAAAAAAAAAAATTGATTTTTGGATTATCCACAAACCTCTGTATTGGCAGTTTTATAGGCACTATTTCTTTGGGTAAACTGACCCTTTAGAAAGCAAGCATTTAGGTGAGTTTCAAGTGATAGTAAAAAAAATATTGATGGAATGAATTTCATACTTCATACTGCATTTTACCTATTTATCATTTTGTTTTTTCTTACTCTCTCTTGCAAAAAAGGTTCTTCAGGTTCTTTCACCACCCTCCTGTGAGAAACCTGGCACCCTGCTGCAACCAAGTGGGTAACTGAATCTGTAACAAACATGCTTGATAGTTGTGATGGAACACATTTTAGATTGTGTTTGACCAGCCATTAAGAAGCTGTGTTTCTTTCTTACCAGTAAAGGTTTCTCCTACCTGACACACATTCATTTGTGTGTCAAATAGGGGAAAAAAAATATATCTCACCTTAAACTAAATAGGTAGGAAACATTTGTGCACCCAAAAAGAAACTGCATGTGTGGGGCCATAGAGCTAAACTGACAACATGCTGTGCTTGCTACTAACAGATGCAATGGTAAAAATGCTCGAAAAGATACAACACATAGAGTATGTGCCACCAACAGTGATTATGTCACCATTGAAAATATGTGTACCATCTGCTGCAGCTGAAGTGTTACTGGATTTAAAGTATGCATAATTCAGGAAGGAAAAGTGAGAGAAAACGAGATTTAGTCTCTATGTCACATACTGTGCGAGTTTGCAGCCTCACCTATAATCCAGGAAATGAGAAGAAAATGAAAGAGATGCATCCCTTTCCAATTTACAAAATATATACAGTGGTGCCATAAAGTAGTCAGGCTGCTTTACTTTCACTATTTTGTTATACACTAAAATTCTAATTCTTTTGGCCAACACAAGAAGAGCAAAATCAACACGGTCTATGTTTAGTCATTTTTATGTTGTGATTGTAGCTGAAGAAAAAACAGAGATACAGTAGATACAACAAAGACACGGTGAGCTCTAATAATGTACAGTGTATGTAAACCACTGTAATAATGCCCTAAAGAGTCTCATATTACATTAAGTCATTCTGAGTTTTATTTTGGAAGGGGAAGGTATTATGCAACAGAACAGCTAATGTCTCATATGTTCACACAGCAGTCAAAGCTCTCCACCTTCACCATCTATCCTTATTGTCAGCCTTTCATACTATAGTGGCACTAAATTTAAACACAAACTTCACTTACTCCCCTTCATTCCAGTTCCTTCATAACACAAACTTACTCATCTCTGTATGTTTTTATACATATTTTTGATCGTATATCTGTCCTGTTTTTTTTTTTTTTTTTCCTTTTCTGTTTCTTTTCTATTCATGCGGTAAAGTCACACTGAAGTGCCTGAAAGCTAGCACTTAGTGAAAGTGCTCCCCTCTCCTTCAATGAAAGATAGCCATTTGAATCTAGATCCAGAAAGTCAGTGGGACACTTGGACTATGTATGCTCATACTTGGCTGACATGTTGCTCAGGAAAGCAGATACTGTAGTCAAAAGGGTGAAGGTTTGATCTCCCAGGAGATAACAACTTAAGTGCCTCCAAGGAAAGGCATTTGCATGTCCATGTGCAACACCCTGTTCCCTGAAGCTTAAAAGGCTATGACAACATTGCATCTGCCGTTACAAATACTAAAGTGTGGTTCACACCTAACCTGCTTGGTGCAGTGTAAAAAGAAAAAAAACAAAAAACAGGTCCATTTGCCTGTATTGGTCAGTTTGTTGAAGAAGGTCTCCACTCATTTAGCAACAATTAAAAAAGATCTCTGTAAGTTACAGACTTACGCAAGATAATTTGGTAACCACAGTAACACATAACATGTGAGCGTGTGACTGCAGGGATTTTCGCTTGACAATCAGAAAATGATACAGAGTTAATACAGAGGTGTTTTGTGTTTGTGTCCTACTCTATGTTCTGTATGGTGAACATCTGTGTATGTAGTACCTGAACGTCTGTGCGGTCTGCAATCCACTTGGCCAGCTGCTCTGAAGCAAAGCCAATCCTTTGCAGGTCAAACGTATCAGCCCTCTTTGGTTTTCCCTTAGCTGGAAAGTGCATGAAGGTTGGAGCGCTGTTCATGTTCAACTAGAGAAAATGGGAGAAAATGAGGATGGAAATATGAAGTTAATGTCATCTCTGACTTGTCAAACAGTCATAGATCACAATATCTTAATCATCATAGGTTCACCTTCACCTCCACCTTTGCATTATACTGTATGTGTCAAAGTTTTTAGTCTCCATTGTTAATCATTCCTATATACTTAATCGCTTGCTGTCCTTAAAATTCAATTCTGAAGCCTATTCTCTTTTTAAATTTATGATCTTTTTTTTTATGTGATTCTACCTGATTTCTATACATCAGAAGCTAAAAATTCCCAATGCCCATCAAATAACAATCTACATACACTGTACATAGGTTTCGAAATTTTGAAAATTGACTTTCATCCATTCACACACACATTCATACAGCGCTTTTCCTTCACATACAGCGGCCTTTTTCTACCATACACACACACTTACACACCTTCAGTACCTTGCCCAAGGAAATGCGAACTGAAGGAGCTGGGAATCGAACCACTGACCTTCCAATTAGTGGATGATCCGCTCCTGAGCCACATTCAAATTCCATTTTATGTCAATGAAAACGGACCTTTTGCAGAACTCCAGCCATGTGTGCAGACTTTCAGAAACTCAGTTTTTAGCGTTGCCTATACAAATTGTTTTTTGCGGTTAGGATTACATTGCCGCCTGTTGGTTTGGCATGCTTTCAACAGCGTGTTTTACATTTTCACATGGACAGTGATTTTTTTTTTTTTTTTTAAGACTGAAGGAGGAAATCCCATGTTCTAATAAATACCTGTCTACCTGTGGACTAAGACTTAGTGCCTCTGTAAGAAATATAATATATATAAAACAATAAAATACAATAAAAAACTGGTTTATTCTAGCAGTACCTTTCACTTGAAATAATGCAATTGTTTTTTTCGTCAGACAAGCACAGTCATCTTTAAATTTCCATAACTTGTCATAACTACACACATGTATGTATGTATTCCTATAGTGGGATATTATGAACCTATTTCAAATATACATATACGTTTTGTGAGTGAGTGATCCGCAAAGTGGCACAAACAACTAAATCAGCCAGCAATTTCAATGAAGATACCCTTACTGACAGCGAGCATCAAAGAACAAAGCTCACTCTGCTTCTTTTTGAATGGCATTATGCAGGTACACTGTGCCTCTAAAGCACTGCTGTCGGTTGGAAACCGCATTTAAAATTTTGTTCCTGCTGGGAAATGAAGCGAAGCTGTCCAAATCCTGTCCAAACCTTCCAGCCACAACATCTCCAGATTCACACTCCTCAAGTACATTATACAAAATACTATAAGACACTTTGAAAATTATAGAAAACCAATTAAGTTGTCATACACATTATATTATATTATGGAGAGCTATTCAGTTGTCAAAACAACCTACCCAAATTTGATTGGCTTTAAAGTTGCACTATGCTGCTGTACCCTGACTGGAAATATAAAAATCGAGTCAAGACTCTGCACTGGGCAGATACTCAATACTAAATGACTTGGCACAGGAACGATGACAAAAAATAACCCTCAAAGATCAGTAGATATAAGGAACAACACCAGTGCATTGTATTTCTATCATGTTATATGCCTCTCTGTGTGTATGCGTGTGTGTACTGATCTAATTACAAGACAGCAAGTGGGTGTGTGCTGGCTATCACAGCTAATAACTGGACAGAAAGACATCTCCAATAATTCTATCTTAGCATAAATATATTCTTTTATACAAATGCATTGTTCTGTTTCCTGTCTGTCCTATTAAAAATAAACACATCTCACACACACACACACACACACACACACACACACACACACACACACAGCTAAATAAAGACAATTGCATATAGTAGGAATTTCAAAAGATGTTGATTATCTTCTTTCTCTAAATCCGCACCCTCCCCCTTATGTTTCACACCTATTTAACTCCAAATCCCAGGACTCCCTACAATTATCAGCAACAATAAAGTCAACTGGTTTACTCTCTCCTGTTTTCCCCAAGGCACCTGGAGAAACATGGAGAGGAGGAGAAAAGGAAGGAAATGAGGAACGCATAGAAATAATGAGTGGAGAGGAGAGTTGTAGGTTATTTTTCTATCCACCAACTTTTAAGTGATAATAAGGGGATTAATGTGTTAGAGGCATGTGTGCATGCATTCATGTATACACACACATGTAAGAATGTGTATACATACAACATATGCAAAAATACCCATGAACACAAACTTCAACAGCCTTTTTTGTCACGACAAGAATGGATGAGGATAGAGTCATGAAAATGAAACAGCTTTGAGGAAATATTCGAAAGAAGTTGCAAGAAACCCAAAGAGTAAGAAGGAACAATTGAAGTACTGGAGGAAAAAGAGTAAGAAATATTAAAGACACTTAAATATTAAATACCAGACTATTTTTAACTGAGGATAGCTATTTAAAGTTCTAAGAGTATAAAGTGTAGTATAACAAAGGACAACAGGGAATTTACCTCTGTATTTTGTATCTTTTTCTGTATTTGGGTAAAGCTGCTTGAAGAAAGTGTCCTGTTTCTGGTACTGCCTGTGTTCAAGAGTTTTTAACCTACTCAGCACTACTCAGCCACACTAGAGAAAAACAGAGAGGAAGTTTTCTAGTGACAAAAATGTCTTTAAAGCGAATAATACTTATACTTAGATTTTTCAAAAGCTTTTTGTTTGTTTGTTTCCAGTTTGTTGGGGAGCACACTAATTGTCTCCATTTTGGTTTCACTGGTTGAACGCAACTCAAATTTATGTACAGAGGGGTCCAAAAGTCTTAGACCATCATGATGAAGTGATAACTGTTACCTCTCAGTCAAAACCTATGGTAGACCATTAATGGCATGTGTGCTTCTACACTTAGAAGCATGTCATTGGATCAAAAGTAGGTAAAAAATTGACACTATTTGAAGGAATAAGCTTTAGCATTAGCAATAATTAGCCTGTTTTTATTTCAGTCATCCATCCATTTCATCACAGTGGATCACATCTACAGCTGAACACAATTAATAAGAGAATAATCTACAGCCCTTGTTTATGGCACAGTAGAAGTGCAAAACAAGGATTACAGACAGACTGGTGAGCCTTATGTTTATGATGAAACCAGTCACTGACAAATGCATCTTTGAATCAGTTCACATTTCCCAGACAAAAAACCTACAATTACTGAAGTTCACTTGCATCTTTCCATTGACACTTTATGTGTCAGAGCTTTGAAAGTTGCTTGGCATTAAGCCTGAACACAGCCGAAGTAGAAAACCAGAAAATGAATCTGAAAGTATTCTAACAGTTTAAGTCTTTGTTTTTTTTTGTTTTTTTTTAATCCTCTTGTTCCTGCTTCTCAAATGTAAATCAAAAGACATCTTGTCAGCGTCTTTTCCTTGCGTGACTGGAATGAAAACAGCTACCTACCTGACACAGGTGACTCACCAGTGCCTCTGCTTCAGAATGGAGTGTGTAATGTGTGTTGATTGCATGTGTTTATCAGCATTTAATTAGCTTTGTGCTTGTATGCTTCCTTGTTTGTCCATATCAATATGTGCGTTGTGTTTGTCTGTGTGTGTGTGTGTGTGTGTGTGTGTCCAGGAATTGCACTGTGTTCAATGCATATAAATACCTGTGTGTATGTGTGTGACTTTTTATTGGCGTACTTTTTGCCTTTTTCTCAAAGGTTTTCTGTGAGGTTGTTTGATGGACTACCGCTGAAGCTCTGAGGCAGCTCCTTACTATCAGCTAGGGGGTAGAAGTGAGGGAATAAGGGAAAGAGGAGAGAATGAAACTTAGAAAGGAGAAGAGATGCTGAAGATAACAGGGTTTGATAGGACGAGAAGAAAAAGTTGGCCGTGAATATGATGGAGAGGAAGGAACAGCAGAAGCGCTGTGTCTAACAATGGCTGACCACAGTGGAAAGGAGAATGGGGACTGATGAGGAGAAAGAAAAGGCATATTTGCAGTTGATTGATATTACCCCAGAATCTCTGCCCGACAACCCCTGGAGTTTTCTTTTTTAAAAAAAGGCAGTTTTACTACACAAGCAGCTATTAATTTAGGGAGCAAATTACCTTCGGCATTCACGTTCAGCATTAGCTTTTTGTGTTTAATATGTTTGTCTAGTACTTTTATCTTTGTGAAATGAATCATCCTAATGACACATAAAAAAAACACCTCTCTAAAGGTGGAAGGGAAGTTTTGATTAACTAAATCGGAAGCCAACAGATTTTAAACCAATCAATGCAGTTGCTGCAAGTGCTAGTGGTGTTTTCTGTGGGTTACACACTACTGTGTGAGCATGTTTCATTCAAGTCACAGGTTGGTATACAAATGGCATTAGGTTTGGGTGAACACATATGGGATTGACAAAACTCTAAATAACTGGTTACCTGTTGGAAAACATCAGCTCCCTCATCGTAGTCCACTACCGTGAAGAACAGCTTGTTGGAAAATGCAGATGAGTAACGCCACGAGTTTGCCAAAACTTGGTACTCCTCATTCGCCTGCCTATAAAATGGCAATGAGACAGAAACAAATATCAAGAAAAAAGCCAAGACAAAATATTTCATGTTTTTACATGTAGGTAAATACTCAGATACACATTTCAAGTACCATGCCAATAATTAGGACTCTATTCAAGATGATCTCTTCTGTAGCAAATAAACCTGGTTGATTGCAGACATCACTGAAGTCAGGTGTCACCATATACTAAAAACATAATGAATCATAATTTCAGACCTATATTACAACAATTGTCTAGCGGACTGATTTTCCAGCACGACAATGACCTTAAACTAGTACTGAAGTGTTTTAACAGGCTTTTCAATTCTTGGAAAACATTCTGATTCAAACTGGTGTTTTTTCACCAGACCACACTGAACATCTTCATACCTGAAAAGACAGTGCTGAAAAAATGTGGATTCTCAAGTTTTGTGAAAATAAAGTTAAAAGCCTAAAAAAAAAAAAAAAAAAAAAAAAAAAAAAAAAAAGGCAGACATGTCGTATAAAGAAATGTTTAATTTGCAGTAAAAACTTCACTTAAAACTAAAACTTATACTAGGGACATAATTGCAATGAAAAAGGTTATTAAACATTCCTTATTCACAAACACCAATTACTCTTTGTATCATCTTTTGCAAATCTAGTATTGTCATCAGAATGGAACCAATATTGTGGCAGCCAAAATAGACCAAGTACCCTAGATGTCTTGTTTACAGTGTTGTCAATTATGTTTTAAAAGTACTCAGTTATATTGTTTGTCTTTTCATTTATTCAGCTGCTCTTTGTCTTACAGGATGAGTTATTTTGATTCTGAGAAGCCATGGGCACAGGCACTTCACAAAGGATGAAATGAATGCATTTATTCATGAAGAGACAGAAGGTGTATGAAAATGGAGGACAATATCACCAGAAAATCCACAACTGAGAAGGAGAAAGAGAGAAGAACAATGGAGGGAGAAAAAGAAACTGTAATCTAGATCCATGGTGATGTCTTATGACGTGTAATCTCTTTCATTTGTCACTTTATTTCTATTTACTTCAAATTACACTTAATGAAGAAGTTATTTTAACCAGCCTTGGTCAGATCAGTCTTGTCCTCCTGTATGACAAGATAAAAAGTTAAATGCCAAGAAGCAGTCCCTCTGTTTTTCTCCCTTTCTCTCTCTCTCTCTTGTTTCTGACTTTAGTTAGGCCCGTATGATGCTCTACTTCAATTTGACATTGTGTCTTATGTCAACTGCCTTTTGTGTTGCTTTAATTAGTGGGAAATCGTCTGTCAGGATCTGTTATGTGCAGTGGTGTTACATTGTTATCTTCGCAACTAATGTTAGGATGGGTCCTTTGAAGTGTCTACAGTTTAAAAAAGTCAGCAGAGATGAAGTTGAAACTCAGGCCAGCAGACTGTCAGGGATTACAGTGGTGCTCGTCTCTTTCTGTGAACACCACTCTGCTGGAATTGTCTAGGTGACACTGAGATCTGGCTTTTTACTGTACTGATATTTATTCATTTGTTGTTTATTTAGCTTCCTGACAACTGTCCTAATGATAAAAGAATATTTTACTGATGGGGTTAAGTTTTTTTATTCAATAATTAAGCAAAATAATGAAGTTAAAACATTGTGTTTTGTGAATGTTAAACCACTTTTAATTGATGGCTTGTACTATATTCCTCATATGACATTTCGTGGTATATGTATTTATTTATTTTAGTGTAACAATATCTGCTTATTCACCATAAAGAATATTTTAACTTGTAAAACTTTGACTATTAAACAAATGATAAACATAAATTCTTGCTGCTTGCTTTACAAGTCACAAGAAAAGCACTCACCTTTATCCATCAAAGCTACTTTTCAGTTTTGCTCATTTCTGTGTGTGTACAACAAACCTGACCGGTGTTAACTACAGTACTTGAATCCTGAATACATTTGAGCATCAGGTTTGTGTGGAAAGGGAAAAGACAATGTGTACAAAGTTTTCTCTTAACCTATCTCACCCAGGCAACATAAATTAACCAGCAAAACAAGGTAGGCATATGAATTAATTAAAAATGACTAAAGGTCTTTTAACTATATATTTTTTTATGGTCAAGTGCGAAAATGAAAATGCTACAGACCACTGTGAACTCAAAACATTAATTCAGTCTTTTATTGTGACATTCATTATATCAATTATATATTTACAGTATATATTGATGTGACCTGTCTTCTGTCTTTATCTCTTATACTGTATATTTGCTACTTTTTTTCCTTTGTCTTCTTTATGTTATTTTGTAAATAATATAATAGTTATATTATATATTATATATGTGTTATGTGTTACTATCATCTCTATGACAAGGTGTTTATTTACTAAGTACTAAATGTGCTGGATGTGGGAGTGAAAATTGTCATGTGTGTGACTGAAGCTTGTGCTTAAAGCTGCAATATGCAAGTTTTGGAAATCAGCCTAGTGCTAGCATGAGATTCGAAATCAAGCTACTCTCCTCCTCCCACCCTTCCCTCTCCCTGCTCTGTTGCACTCTGCCCAGCCCTTCTCCTAAATCCTCGTCATAATCGCTGTCTCAGCTAATGCAGGAAATGGGAGCTTGATAGCCTATGAGTCAGCCATACCAGAAGTGCGTTAATGCATTGATTGACACCTCTGAGCTCCCACCCCTGACTTTAGCTTTCTCTGACTGATTAGAAGGGTGGAGCTTGCTTAAAAACTTTAGAAGGAAATATTTTTTCACTGCTGCCAGGCTGTTCAATGAGTGTGGGGCACAGACATTACCTCTCCACAGTAAGATATGATTAGCATATTTTAACTGATACACATTAGAAAATAAAGTTACATACTGTTGTCAGGCAATACGTGTTGTTCTCACCTTTGATCATGTAGCCACTATTATTAAGTTTTTTCTAAACTTTTATACCATAACAACATGTATGTGTAAGTGTACATGTGTAACTGCTTATACTGTGTGTGTGTGTGTGTGTGTGTGTGTGTGTGTGTGTGTGTGTGTGTGTGTGTGTCAAGTCATGCTAAACTCAAATTTTCTTGTTAGCAGTTACTGAGAAACAATAACACTGAATCATATAAGTCAAAAACTGCAGTGAAACCTGCAAAATGTAACCTAGTTACCAAAGAAGAAATACAAGTATATTGGTCTCAGACTTTTGGACCCCACTGGATACGGTAGTTATCATTCAACTAAACGAAGAGGTATTTTTCCAAGTTTCATCCAGCAGAAAACTTTTCTTCTACTTCTGTTCTTGGTGCAGTGTTCAGCCTGAACTGTTGCATCACTATCTGCCATTTTTTTTCCAGTCGCTTGATACATTTTGTGAAAATACTTCAACATCACCATACCATCGACACTTAGCTGAAAAATGAATACAGTGTGACAACTGTCATCTTTTAGTATACTTAAATTAGTCTCATTTCTTGTGTGAAAACAACACTTAGTATGTAGTATGAAACTGGGACAAAGCTTAAGAGTGATGTGGGAGTGAGGACCCCAGTAATTAGGCATCTTTTTCACTGCCTGATGGTCCTCTTAACGCAGACTCTCTGGTCACCATCTAACATCCATCTCTTACTCTCTCTGTCGCTCTGTTTCACTAATGATTCGATGCTATCGCTTGTGTTAATAAGCGCCGGTCGGCAGGGAAGGAGGTGGGTGGGGGTGGGGGTTTGGCACACAATCAAAGAGAAGAAGAAGCAGATAGAAGTAAAGAAAGGGAGTAAAAGGACAGGAATAATGGTGAATGAGAGATTGATATTAACAAATGCATCTGGTGATTTAATAGAAATAAGTAGGCTGGTTTCTTGTTAAGAGGAAGAGAAATTGATTCTGAGATAAACAGATTAAAATGTGTGTGTGTGTGTGTGTGTGTGTGTGTGGCCTTGTTTTGCTATATTTGTGAGGTTCACAAATTGGGGCCCCGCTACACCTGTGGAGTCCGACACCCACACCAAAATGCTCGGCCTCACAAGTTTAAACTGATTGCATTTTTCTTGGCCGATTCTGATTTCAGATTTCTTTGAAAAGTCTGACCTGCTGATTCCGATCCTCTTTCTAAGAACTATAATTGACAGCTACACAAAAATTTTGTAACTTCTTAAAGGAAAAATCTATTGTATCATAGCAGCAGCAATTAAGCGAGGTCGCCATCATGTACAGGTGAGGTAAGCGATGCGGGACTAGTTTTAGCTGTTTTGCCTTTGCTAGTTTCTTGAAATTCAACATGCTGCGAGTTGATGTTTTTTAAGTGTCTGATTGAGTTTGTCATTTCAAATGTTTTCATTGTTGTTCCTCCATGGCTTACGTTGGCCAGTATTCCAAATTGCAAGCTTTGTGTCTTCTGGACTCATCATGAATAATTTCCACATCAACAGCATGTTGTGTGTGTGTGTGTGTGTGTGTGTGTGTGTGTGTGTGTGTGTGTGTGTGTGTGTGTAGCTGTGTCTGTGCTGTTGTGTGCATGACGAACCATCATGTGATGCATGAGTGTAAATTTGACCGCCAGAGAATCGCATATCTGAGCCGACCAGACTGAAAACTAGCCTTTTTCAATCACCAGTCGATTGATCAGTGAATCAGTGTGTGTGTCTGTGTGTGTGTGTGTGTGTCTTCATGTATCAAGGGTCAGCCCACAGCTAGTCCTGCATAGCCATGATCTCCACAGCGCTGTGTCAGCACTGGAGAATAGTCTGGCTGCACCCATTATTATTCTGCCACTAGGGAAAAACGCTTTGGCTTGTTTGCATTTCTTTAAACCACAATCATCTCGGGCGGCGATGAGCCCAGGATGCAGCAATGGTGCCAAACATTCGCACATGGGGAGGAGAGCACTGTCATTACAGCGGCTAATCCCCGCAAAGAAAACGCCACAAAAAAACAGCAGAGCCATATGTCGACTGTGCAATTGCACAATTCAGATCTTCATCAGAACTTGCCATTTTCCATTTGAAAATGGTCACAGGCAAGGGAAGTGGAAAGGAAGACGAATGACGCCTGAAATAGGTGCACAAATGACTGGCTCATACCAAGAGGCTACATCCAGTGAGTAAGATTAGCCCATAGCAAGTGGTAAGATTTGAGAGTGTTTGTGAATATAATTGTAAACCTCCTTGTACAACCGGCTTTTGCAATTGTGTGCTTAATTATGCCTCTGCCAATAAAGAAAAAATAGAATTTGAATTTTCAGAGCACAGGAATAAAAGAGAAATAAAAAAGACTAAGTTTGTCTGTCTTTTGTGATAATACAGTAAGTGTCAGTTCTGCCTGTTTTCAACAAAAAAGCAATTTTATGAAGAGAAAAATGAGGGAGACACACACACACACACTCACACACACACACACACACACACACACACACACAGAGAAAAGGAGAGGTAGCTGATGGGTGTTGACATGAGTGATGAATAAGTTATATAATCAAGTGACTGATGAAATACAAGAGTGGCTGATTAGAGTAACAGGCCAGGTCAGGATGGAGAAGGTCAGTACTGATTTCATCAACCAGCTAGACTTCCACTTGGACACCAGGACATGGGTCAAACATACTGTATAACATGCATTCCAGTGTGGTGAATGTGTATTAAGTAACTTGAAATTTAATATTCCATAACTCAACAAAGAGTGACAAGCCTAGTTTCCACGTTTGTTTATTTCTTGATATGGGTCTGAACAACTCGAACCAAGGTTTACCAAATAATAACACTTTTCAGAAAGAGACACAGTGATTTGTAGGGAAATCAGTAATTCCTGAACATCAGAGCAGCTACCATCTTTGGTTGCAAATTTCCCATTCAAAAGCGCCTGACAGAGATGCAAATATGAATGCAAAAGGGAAATCAACAGTAAAAATGAAATGAAAAACAATCAAAGCAAGCATGAATGATAAAAACCAAATCTAATTCTACCAGAGAAAGAGCAGGACTGACTGCAATTCACATGACCCTGTGAAAAACATTCAAAAATAATAAAGTTGGGTCCTCTGTGTGCACGCTGTATGCAATCCAAATGGTAGCTTCTGTCCCTTTTCATCATTTGATGCCATAGACTGTAGTGGACGATTATCAAAATGTTAAAACACAATGTCTACAATAAATACCGTAAATTTCGGACTATAAGCCGCTACTTTTTTCACACGCTTTGAACCCTGCGGCCTATACAACGATGCGGCTAAATTATAGATTTTTACTGGCCAAAGGCCTCCAGGGGGCGCTCTAACGGGAAGCGCAAAAGTGAGACAGACATGTGGGGAAAGATTATGCACCGAAGAAGACACGGTAGTTTTGATTTTGATTTTGAACTGGAAATGGAAAACACACGGAGAAATGCATATGATGCGGCTTTTAAGTTAAAGGCAATCGATTTGGCCGTCAAAGAGGGAAATAGAGCTACTGCACGTAAGCTTGATATCAATGAATCGATGGTGAGACTTTGGAGGTGGCAGTGGGAAGAACTGAGTCAATGTAAAAAGACGGCAGAAGCCGGCCGTGTTGGTGCCGTACAGGCAGTTTGAAAAAAAGCACGTCTTGAATTAAATCTTTAAAAAAAATCTTCCGTGTAATGTATTTCTGTGTACGTAAATATCTCATGTTACAACATGAAAACCTGCGGCTTATAGTGAAGTGCGGCCTATATATGTACAAAATTTATTTTCTTGTAAAATTTAGCTGGTGTGGCTTATATTCAGGTGCGCTCAATAGTCCGAGATTTACGGTATATGAGTGCAGCCAATTTTGCATTTAGTCTTATACTGTTTATTTCAGCTCCTCATGCTGCATTTCCAGTAGTCTGTCTCTTATCTCCAGTTGGTTTCATAATGAGAGGACAGAACACAGTGTTGTAAATGTGCTCATCTGGCATCTGAGACATGATGATGCTAGAAAAACACCACACCCAACACTGGTTCTAATGGCTTCACTGACTACAAAGTAACTTTAAGGACCACGGACAGCTCCAGAGTCCAGTGTACCAGTGTTGTGTGCACAGCTGTCCATGGTGCTGAAACACTGGGATTGACATGCAGTTAAAATCATTTGACTCAGATGGGGATTCATTTATATTCGGAACTAGAAATTAAAATCAAACTTCTAATCTTGTATCAGCATTTTGAGGTAGTGTTTGACCTTGCCATGTTGCAGTTGATTCTGCTGCAAACATGATGCAAGCCTAGTTTTGTTAATAAAAATCCAATTTAAAGCTTGCTGCTGGGATTTTTGGAAAATCTCATCAATGTATTAAATGCTTTGACCATGCAAGTGGGTAAGCAGGTCTTGTTGGCCTTGTTCTGTGGAACTTATTCTTTCGCCTTTAGTAGTATGGTTGGCTGGAGTCCCTTTGATCCAAATATCAACGTGACTCACAGGTTTGTATTATATAATACTGTTTTCTGTGTTTCCCAAGGTGTGCAAGTCTATATATGTGCATGCAAGCAGGGTATGTGAAATATCAGATGAGCTCTAGGACATTTGTGCTTGTGTGCGTGTGTGTGTGTGTGTGTGTGTGTGTGTGTGTGTGTGTGTGTGTGTGTGACTTGAGAGTTCAAAGATTTTTTCACTGTAGGTGAACGTCAGTGCACTGAGTAAACTTGGAGGACATGAGAGTCATCTCAAGCAATCAAAAGAATGACAGAGAAATGGCTGTTATGGTAGGAGGTATGCCACGTTAAAGAAGGTGCCTTAGCCTTGTGTGTGTGTGTGTGTGTGTGTGTGTGTGTGTGTGTGTGTGTGTGTGTGTGTGTATACCTGCAGACAGAACACTGCCTTTGAGGCTGCAGGGCAGTGAACATGACGATGACAGAGTAGTTCCTGGGTGGGGCCTTGACAAAGCGACGGAACTTGTCACCGTTCATCCGGACGACCGAACGCCGAGAGGACCACTCCATCATCTGGTCAACCTTCTCTGACAGCAGGTTCTGAACAAACAGACAGTGAAAGGGCAGAGAGGACAATGCTTCCCGTTAGGATTTTCAGACTCAAACAGAAAAAGTAATTCCTGTGAGTCCAACAAAGCTAGACAGAATAAATAAAGGCATTTTAATTCTTTAAAATGTCAAAAACTTTCCTGTCATGGGGGAAAAGCATGTACAGTCAAGTGACAGCATAGAGAAGTTGCAAAGACATTCTAGTATCCTCATATAACATGATCTATTTGTACAGTCCCAAGAAAGATTTCCCACAGAATATATCAAAATCCTTGACTTCTTCTTATTCTTCTTATTCAAGCAATGTCTCTTATATTCTATAATATTCCAACTACTACATGACCAGGAGGTATCTTGCAGTAAATACTGGCTGCTTTCAGAGTCCAAGGCTGATACAGGGAAAGGTGTTCCTGGATGTAAATTTTAATAGGCTTGACTCCTGGCCTGTATTGACTAATGGGATGCAAAAAATCTGGAATACAACAAACCTAACCATTATTTACAGAAAAGGAGTCCTAACTTGGTAGTCTAGGTGTGTGCGTATGCACAGAAAAGCCATAGTTCTCGGTTGTTTTTGTGTGTGAATTGTAGGAGTCTGCCGTTGATTAAATCCAGTCCGGCTTAGCCAAAAGGTCACAACAGAGTTAGCGTCAGAACACAACGCTTAAGGCAAACAACACACAGCATACATGTGTACACAAACACATCAGCTAGTGCCTTTGCAAGGTTTCTAAAGCTGAAATGCTTATTCTGGCAAAGTTATGCAGTGGGGTACGTAATGATTTGATGTGGCTGACTGTGTATGCATGTGCACAAGTGTCCTTGTACTGTGTGTGTGTCTGTAAATCTACTATATGATGTGTAAGTTCTCAGCAGGACACTGCTTGCTCTCTACTAGCATCTCCTTTGCCAAACTTGAGCTCTGAACTGATGGCTGATGAAACACAAGACTGCTGATGAAACACTTGTTTCCCCAAACACTGCTGATCAAACTGTACAGCAAAAAAATCTGTCCGGAAAGTATATTTCAATTTACAGCATAAAACTCTTTTTTTTTTGTGAACTAGACTATGCTAAATTTGTGTTGAGGGTTTGTCATACATTTTTCATTAAAGACTTTTGTCCACCATCTCTGCATCTTTAGTATATACAGAAACACTGATAAATATATTTTTCTCTCTTCTCTTTTCTTGCCCATTACTTTAAAGCAACTACCATGTTCTAAATAGGAATAAATAACTCAGGGTAGAGAACATGTTGTTTATGTTTATGACCCAAAGAGTGTTGTTGTCTGCTATTCATTTCACACTTTCAACTCATAAAATCATTATACTCATTCTCATTCTACTAGTAGTAATACAGTTAACCTTGGTGTGATGTTGGACAAGGCAAAAAGGATTACATTCCAGTTGAAAGAGAATAAATGGAAGTAGGCAAGAGTAGTACACTGGTGCACTGTGTACTAATATATCAACATATATGATTTAGGGGAGTAACGACTTTACAAATCCACAGTCCAGTTCAGCCTTGTTTATTTTTGGTTTTGGTGTTTTATTGGGGTGAGGGGGTCTAAAATCTTCCAAATCTGCTGACTTGAATGTGTCCAGGGGCTCCGCATTATCCATCTTGAGCTAATTAAACTAGCCTAATTTTTACTGCAGGCAAGATCACTCGATCATTGGACCAAAATAGTCACGTGACAGACTCAGTTATAAGAGAACAAAATAGGTGTAATGTGTAAAATATCCAAAATATACAGCTCGTGCCAACTTCAAATAGAATACTTTTGTGATTTACATGTGTTGTAGTGTTGATTGTGAAATGAAAAATGAGTTTGAGAGCTCCTCAGCCTGCACCTCCAGTGGTGGCTGTGGGTTAAGGTTTTGGGAGGTCTTGTGACACAAGATTGTGTGCGTCGATCAAAATATATAAATATATTATTAAAATGTCTTGCCAACTGAGCCAGCTGAGTGTGCTGACATTGTCAACTAGGGCACAACATTCTGCGTGCCTCTCGCTCACAGCTGCTACCCAACATGTGCATGCAAGTCTCGCTTGTGCAGGGGGGGAGGCATTTAATACAGAGCCGAAGGGCAGCAGACAGGAGGGATGCGCTTCAAAAATGAATTTTCAGTCTGTAATTTGAACCAGTCTTAAAGGATAACGCATGATGGTCTGAGTGTCTCAAGCTAGTCTATGTACAGTAACTTTCCATCTCTCCCTCTCAATCCCTCTCTCTACCCAGTAGTCCACTAGTATTGGATCAAATAGACAGTAGCTAAATAATTTAGCACTGCACCTCACTCCAAAATCTCTCTCTCTCTGTCTCTCTGTCTCACGCACACGCACACGCACACACACACACACACACACACACACACACACACACACACACACACACACACACACACACAAGCTCATATGCTTGGCTGCAGACAGAGCAGAGCTGTAGACTAAATCTTTCTAGTAAACAAAGAACAAAAGTGGAAGAGGATAAGAAAAAAGAGAGTGAGACAGAGAAGGAAAGACAGTACGACACGTGTTTCTGCTGTATTGCTTGTTCAACTCCGACAAAACACACTCCTTCACCAACAAGCCATGTATAATGAGGGAGGTTCACTAAGAAACACTGCACAAAAGGAGTACACCACACCACCACAAACACACACAAATGGGATTGCACATCCAGAGGAGGTACAAAGTGCTTTCTGTGCACCTTTTCTTTTTTGCCTTGAATTTATCTACCAAGTTTTTGCCCATGTGCATTCAGCCCCAAAAGGATAGCTGTCAGTCCTGGATGCCAATCATGCTGTAATGATGCACTGCCTTACTCATGTTTTTCAGGCGCGCGCAAGCGCACACACACACACACACACACACACACACACACACACACACACACACACACAGTGCTGAAAATACACCAAAGTACTACTTGTGAGGGAAGTGTAAGTGATGATAAAGGTGCTGAAAAACAATGGAGGGCAGCTGGCAAGAGAGAATATTTGCTATAATATAGGGCATGTTTTGAAGCATAAGCTCCTGCTTGGGAGGTCTTAAAATGAACTGTCCTACCAATTCAAGAACTGAAAACTAGCAACTATACAGGCCATCATCCATATAAATTTGGGATTAAAATTGCCCACTACCAGGGGTCTCCTAGGACTGGTTGGGTGTAATTTCTATATCTTGTGTTAACTCTGTGTGACAGTATACATTTATCACCTTATTAAGTGATATGATAATTCTATTGTAGAGTATGATGACAGCTATTAATACATTATTTACCAGAAGCTGGTGTCAAAATCAAAAACACTCATTCCAACTAAAATTTTTTACCATGATAATGATAAAAAAGCACATCTCAAACTCACCCTGTCTCCCAATTAACAAGAATCCACTTGTGCAGTCAAAGGACAGAACTCACGGCACTATGGTGGCTGGTAATGAATTTAAAAAATAAAGCACTGGTAGGTTTTTCATTTGAAACATGTTGGCGAATGTGATCAATACCATATTGAGAAAAAGAATGGCAAAGTACAAACAAATGGGACTGATTAATGAGTTTGAATAGTATTATTGTTAAAGACAGAATCTCAGAAATAGGAGTACTGAATGAGTACATTGTTGTAATGCCGCTGTGGATGCTATGTACATTTATATCAGATACATCAGAGTTTAGCATTACAACAAGTAAACATTAGGGAAGTTTGCATTACCAGCAAACACCATCGACAGCAAATTAATAGCATATACTGTAAAAGCAGGCAAGAAAACAGGGAAACGTACTAAAATTTGCCTTTACAAAAACAAAGAGAACAAGATATAAAATACATGCCACTAACAATAATAGACTTGGTTCGCTCTTTAGTTGAGGTAAATATGGCCATCGTCTGCGAGCTCACAGTAATGCCTGTTGTACGTATTAAGACAAAATGATGCCTGTAAACTACAAAGTAGTTAGAAACACTTTTAATGAACCTTTCCCTACACAGAGCTATTTACATATCTTATGCTAGACCTTCAAGTGACTCCCACACATCAGTGTTATAACTCCCTACTTTACCTGATCCACATACACAAACACGAACAATACATAAGCACTCCAAACAGCCCGGGACCATTAAAAACATTTATTTCCACCCCACTGAGCACAGAGGGCACTAAAATGAATCACATCTACCATGTGTATTTGTGCACGTGTGTGTGTGAGTGAGTGAGTGAGTGAGTAAGATGCACAAATGGTCTGTAGATATCCTGCTTTATCCGTCTGATTTTCTGTTACTCACTCTATGAATGTCATGACCTCTCTCACTCTCTCTCTCTCTCTCTCTCTCTCTCACACACACACACACACACACACACACACACACACACACACTATAGGCAGCAGACTGTATTGGTAGCACTGAACTGAGGTCTAAATTTCTCTATAGTTCCCCATTTACTCTTTTGCTCTCATTCTGTTTTATTCATTATACCCACTTTTCCACATAATTTCCGATTGTCTTTTTTCCTTTTTTTCTTTTCCGGTTATCTTCTTTTGAGCAACTCCCTGTTGTTTTCACCTTTCTTGCAATACAAAGTCACTGTAGATGAGAACCGGAAATTGTGGCTAAAAAAATACAATAAAATTGACTTTAAAATAAAAAAATTATATTTTCACTAGTAGAGGAAGAGTTATGAAGAGACCAACAACTGGAAAAGAAAAAGCACTCCAAGCTGAGGAAAAGAGAAAATAGAAACTGATATAGAGTTGAGATAAAAGAAGCGTGAGGAAAGGAAATGATGAAGGGACAAAAAATAAAAGGATGACACATGGAGTGTAAGGCAGAACTGACTCATGCACTAATGACCACACAGCAAGAGGTTATGGAGGGGCATCAGAGAAGACGGTTAGTTTATCAGCCAAGCAGTTATTCAAGCATAGAGTCACTCTGCCAGCAGGCCAGCCGGCCCAAAAGCTGTCAGAAAAATGGTCAGCCACTCAG